GAACTGATTCCTCCAATGTTCAACATCGCGGAATAGGATGCATTCTCATTATTCGTTGATCACTATTATCAATAAGTGAGATAATAATAGTAAATGGTATTCGCCAAGAATCATAAGATGCTTGAAATTTTATTGTAAGACTAACACGTTGATTTTGATACTGACACGTATCACCATAATAGCTTGGTGGACAAAGACATGTACGATTGGTTAAATCTTCATCATTGTCTGACCAAACTCGTACATCGATACCTCGATGACAGCGTACCGATGGTTCAAGTGTCATTCGAGAGATAGACACCGTATTGACATTGTCTTTTATTGGTGAGTTAATTGATTTTGTCATTTGATTTAGAGAGAAGTGCGTAATTTTTGGTTCAACAAGAAATATAAAAAGATTACATAAAAGTTGTTCCATATCCGATAGATTTGGTGTATTCTTTTCGTTACAGATCTCATCGCTACGAGCAAAATCAAAGGATTCGGTACGGTTACAAAACATCTCAGAATCCTTGACGCCGCACAATATCCCTTCATCACAAATAGCATAACGAGTATTACAAAATTCTTGGTCTTCTAATACACAATAAAATCCAGCATCAGCGGATGAATAAAGAAGTTTATTACATAATTGTGGTTCATCAGTAGCACCAAGACAATCGATATGACCATTATTTCCTTTATCTTTAGCGAGACATATTAATTCCGTTGTTTCAGATGAAAAACATACATGATTATGTGGTGGACAGTGTATTAATGATATTGGATAACAATCAACTTCATCAGCTCCATCGAAACAATTCCATAATCCATTACACCGAGTATAACTATTATTACAAGACCACTGTTCACATTCTGTTTCGTCTGTTTCATTTTGTCCATTTACATTTATAGGTTTCAAATCCATAATACCATTACAAATTGATGGGAATGATATATGTTCTCTAACATGCTTGATAGATAAAAGCTCATCTTCGCACATCTGATAGAATTCAACACCGCATTGACAAAGACCATCTCCAATCACCTTTCGAGACATGTACGTCTTTGTTTCAGAACAATAGAAATGCGTTTGCGATTTCTTTATAGAAGAAAGATTATTGAATGTCGTCCATTGTTCATCATCCCCATAATCACAATCATTTATACCATCTAAAAGACGATAGTTCGATATGCATTTCGATGAATTGATACATTTATACATGCTTGATTTATCACAAAATGTCGAATCATTTCGAAAAATTGTATTACATTTATATAATTCAACATGTACAGGTGCGTAAAAGGCGTTGGTAATCAAATCTTGTATGAAAGAACTAGAACTTAATGAAAAATCTTTGGGATGACGACAAATAGTATTGTTAAAAGGTAACGATGTTCCATATGGGTAGAAACCACCACAAAGTTGCGGATCATAGCATATATATTCAGGTTCATTTGTCCATATTTTCTGTTCGACAATGTATTTTTTTGTATAAGCCAGATAAATATGACCGTATAAGACTGGAGTAGGTGGCATGAAAAACATGTTTGGACAGTTTTCTTCAATTATATCTCGACATTCATCATTTTGACATACGTCAAAGCACTCGAGATCAAAAGCGTTTGGAATTCTAAGATAACATTTCAATGTTGACCAGCAAATATCAGTCATTGAGTTTGGTGTAGATGAAAACATCAACTCATGCCAATATTTAACGTAATCTCTAATCAAACACGAAGTTGTATATCTTAAAATATTGGACCAATCAGATTCCCAACAGAGAAGATCATCGTTTGCAAATTTTGGTTCTATCGAGATTTTGAGAAACTCATTTGTAGTGATAATATATTCGTCGGATCTATCCAGACAATCTGGAGCATAAATATCATCATTGTAAAATATAGCAGGTACGCATTGACCATTTATACATCTATATTCATCATCTTTACATTCACTGACTTCCAGCTGCGAACAATGTTCTTCATCAATTCCATTAATACATTGAATAATATTATTACAAATATCACTCCAATCAAAACATAATGAAGATATATCAGGATTACATTGTAAATAAGTGTAACATGTAGGTAGAAACTGATCATATGAGCCGGAATTATAATAATCAGCGAGGATTTCATTCAATGATTCATGATTAGGTTGATGCATATCTAATGAATATTGACACATAGGACCAAATCTTGGTAATGTACAATTATAGTACATCTGCATTGATAAAGATGTTTCATTTGAATTTTGTAATTGATCCAAATAGAATTGATAATCTTCAACAATATCCATCGGTGCTGACCACATATATAATTGTTGACTAGTAACATTCAGGATAGAAAGATCAGCAAAAGTAAAATTTTTATCAAAATTATTTGTTTGTACATTCCATTTCGATGGCCATTCACTCATACAATATAAAATCATCTGATAAGGATCATTTCCAAATTCATTCGATACAGCAACATGAAGACAATCATGTTGTAGTATATCATCATTTTCATTTATCCATTGTGTCAGATGAAGGTTTATTTGAATTGGAATAATAACAGGCAAAAATAAGAACATAAAATAGAATATAACTCGAAGAAATAACATTATCAGCTCAGTATGATAAGAGTTTAAAATTAAGATCGACTGAAGTGCAACTGAAAAGAATTTTCTCTTACATGTACTCTGGTTATTAAGTACAGCAACTGAGACAGAAAAATTGCGTTTATACGATGAATGGTTATTTGACGTACTTTTTTCTGTAGAATGTAGATACTTCATCCATCATATATATATATAAAGAAAAGGAGGGAGATTTTCTTATGAATATTATCTACGTGATAAAAGCTTAAATAAGTTTTTTTTAATAAGATTAAAATATCATGAAAAAGAAATATAAAAGAATACTCGTTTTCATATTATATTCTAAAAGTTTATTAAAAGCAGGTACTCTAACTAATACTTTATTTCATAAAAAAATCTTAAGAATAAGAATGCAGACAACAATCAATCATCTTTCCTCACCCATACCCTCAAGATGTATTTTACTAACAGAACTACTAGCAGTAATTGATGTACACGTATGAGTTTGATAGTCATTCGTTTGAATGCCGTTAGTTGATGCGTTAGCAGGTGGAGAAAATGATGAATTAAATGTGTCTAATTTATGATCAAGTACATATTTTTATGATTATGTTGATTAGTAAGACTGTGATTTCTACATAATAATCATAGAATTTTGCTGTTAACTTACTATAAGAAAAACTATATATAGTTTCGAACGATAGATGTTCAAGATAGAAGAAAAGATTAGAACTGTCATTATTGAAAGTAGCAAAAACAGAAAGTATGTTTTTGATGTTATATCATAAGAATGAATATCTCTTTTTTTCATTTCTATTCGTTGATGCTGTCAAAGACATAATAAAATATTAATGAAAATTATTTTTATGCGTTCAAACAGTACTTTTTTTCATAAAGATATGAAAAGAATATTCTGTTTATGATGTGCAAAAACTTCAAAAGCAGAAAAATCTGAAAGAGACAAATTTAAAAACAAATTCTGTTTTTATATGATGATTTCATTTTAAAAAATCTAAGCTAGATGTCAAGTTCAACTATTGCAACGCTCAGTATTGCTGGTCAACAAATAGTGATTTGTGGAGGTATTTTTCTTTTCATTACTGGTGTTGTTGGAGGACCATTAATGCTAATTACTTTATTAAGTCTTCGTACATTCCGAGAAAATTCATGTGCTTTTTATTTAATTATCATGTCAATCGTGAATATTTTAAATTTATTTATTGCTTTATTAACTTTTATAATGACAACTGGTTTTGGTATTAATTGGTTGAATATGTCTCGTAGTTTTTGTAAATTTCGACCATTTTATCTTCAATTTGGTAATATTATGTCATTTACATGTATTTGTTTAGCAACAATTGATCAATTTTTTGCTACTTGTTCGAATCACCGATGGCATCAATGGAATCGAATTAGTATAGCTAAACGATTAATATTAGGAGCAATTCTATTTTGTTTGTTACATGGAATTCCATTTTTATTGTATTATGATTTGAATATTTCATCAACAACAGGCAATTCTATATGTGGCTTTACTAATGTTATTTTTTCAAACATATTATAATGTTTTTCATTTTCCTGTTTTAATTACTTCTTTACCTGTTTTTATTATTCTTCTATTTGGTTTTTTAGCATATAGAAATCTTCAACATATTTCTCATCGAACAATTCCTTTAGTTCGACGTGAACTTGATAAACAATTAACAACAATGATTCTTGCTGAAGCATTGAGTGAAGTTATTTTTGTAACACCAACATGTATTCTTAATCTTGTCAATTATTTAATTGGAAATTCAAGTGATCCATTTACTGTAGCTTTGATAAGTTTTTTTCGAAATTTAACTGGAATATTTTATTACATTCATTTTGTAGTACGTATAATTATTTATATTGATTTAATCGATATTTAATTATATATTTAGAGTCCATTCTATATCTACTTTTGTGCATCTAAACGTTTTCGTCAACAATTGATTTATGTTTTATTTAAAGTTCATTATAATCGATGGCGCCATCAAAGAGTAGTCGATGTTGCAAATATTGACATATAAAAACAAAGAATCTAATTTTATTTTATTGTAATATAGTTTAATTAGAAAAATACTAGTTGATGAAGACAATAAAATATCAAAGAATTGAGGGTGTGAATACATCTTCGTCACCCACACCCACACCCACACCCTGTTTATATGTTCTTGCCGCTGAATAAGTCGTTTCTTTTGTTTTATAAAATAACAACAGTTGGAACTTTTTTTTTCCAATGACGTATTTTACTGTGAAAGAATGTGTATAACCCCAAAAGAAGACACTCAAGGCAAATAACAAACAAGAAATGTTATTGCAAAGAAGAGAAAAATGATTCACACGAATTTTAATGCATCACAATTAAACAAATACTGACAGGCGAATGAATTTTTCTTGTTGGAAAGTAAGTATGTCGTCAAGAAACGAGCGAATGCATGGTTCTTACCCAACACAATTCAGAACTTTGTAAACTTGTCTATCTTGAGGATGGGTGTGAGTGGGTGTAGATGTGGATGTGGGTGAGGGTTGTCGGTGAGAGTAGGAGCTAAAAGAATACTCACCCTCACCGACACCGACATCCACAGCCTCACCATCATCCTCACCCATACGCTGCACAAGTCCTCGGACGAGCGTCACTTGTATTTTTGCATAGACATTATTTTTGTTATGCATATGAATCAAACAACAAACAACATCGTTGATGTCAGGTGATGAAAGATTTTTCCAGTTTAGTGAAATAAAAAGGAAGTATGAATAATCACAGCCACTGCGAAGGTGGAGAAAAATTTTCAACTGGAGCAGTATTTATAAACAGAAAAAGATGCAGAAAAAGCATTCAAAATTATTTTCGACGCACTATTCACTCAAGATAATCGAGCTTAATTTTCGATAGGTATGTCAATTATACAGCGCATTCCTCTAATAAGAACAGATATTTCAACATCCTTCATTATTATGCATTTTTCTAAGTCGTTTTTAGTCATTGAAAATTATTTTTTCATTTCGGAGTAGAGGAACATCTTGAGGGTGTGGGTGCGTGTGGATGTACATTCTTTCTATTCCCACCCACACACCTTCAAAAAGATTGGACACTTGCAGCCTAGTAGTTGGGAGAAGTTATTTAAATGGTTTAATATTTGTGCATCTATTCAGTTTTCTAAGACGGATATCTTCATTTATAAATCAAAATATTTAGATGCAATTAATTTTGATTATTACAATTGTTGTACTCAGTTCTGGTTGTGTATTGACGTATAACAAAACACGTGATCAGCAATGGAGTTTATGGAAAGATACACACAAGAAAAACTATTCTACTGCTGAAGAATCTGTTCGGTATAATATATTGTTCTTTATTTCTATTTCTAATTGATTATTAAACTCGGAAATTGTAGTCGTGCTGTGTGGGAAAATAATACGGAGATGATCGAAGAACACAATCTTCAAGCTGACCTCGGTATTTATACGTATTGGCTTGGAATGAATCAATATGGAGATTTAGTGAGCTTTTGTATTGTAATCTTCAAGTATAGTTTATCTATAATTTAATTCATAAATAGACCGTCAATGAATTTGTACAAAAATATACTGGTTTGATAGGAAACATGGAAACCAAATACAATCAAGTTCGTCAAGTATTTGTATCTAATTCGACTGTTAGTTTGCCAGACTCTGTTGGTATGTATTACAATGAACTAAAACTATGACTTATGAAAGTATTTGACTGTTTTCTTACAAGACTGGCGTAACCAGAATGTTGTTGAAGCAGTCAAAGATCAAGGTGGGTGCGGAGCATGTTGGGCTTTCTCAGCAGTTGGCTCAATTGAAAGTGCATATGCTATTAAAACTGGCACGCTTGTTTCTCTTTCCGAACAACAATTAGTTGATTGTTCTGGTGGACAAAGAAATTATGGCTGTGGCGGTGGTACGATGGATCATGCCTTTGTATATGTCATCACTGCAAGCGGCATCGAGACAGAAAGTTCATATCCATATACAGCGGTTGACCAGACATGTGTGTTCAATCCAACAGAGACTACTGTCCAAGTCTGTGATTTCGTTGATATAGCATCAGGAGACGAAGTAGCTCTCCAACAAGCCGTTGCTACTATTGGACCAATATCAGTTGCGATTGATGCTGGTCGTTCCTCATTTCAGTTCTATCAATCCGGTGGTATGTAATATTCTTCTGTCATCTACAACTATCATTTTATACGATTTTTTTAATAGTCTACAATGAACCAACTTGCTTACAACGCATATTTGAACTTGATCATGCTGTTCTGCTTATTGGTTATGGCACAGACGGAAACCATGACTATTGGCTGGTAAAAAACAGGTAATTATTATGTTTCAAATAGTTTATTGATAAATTTACTATTTCTATCATGGTCTCAGTTGGAGTACAGATTGGGGTGACCAAGGTTATATGAAAATGACACGAAATCAAAATAATCAATGTGGTATCGCAACGGCAGCTAGCTATCCGATTATTTGCTCCACAAATACGCAACCAGTACAGCAGATGACATCGGATGCTTTCTATATGATATCTAATATGTGGCTGGTGATCGGTATCTATTGCTTTGTAAAGACATGTTACGACTTGTAACAGCATGTTCCAGAATATATCAATTCACTATATCACTATAAACATATACACAACCCACAAAAATTCACGCTTATCCACACTCGCATTCATACTATCAGCCATTCCACTTTTTCCCAAACTTTGCTTTCATTCTTAATTTAAAAATAAATATTTATATCAGAAATCTTCAAATTACTTAATTTATATGTGACTGATACGTACAATTGCAAAATAGAAAAGTAATTCTTATTTCAAGATTCAAATAGAATTATGCCATACAAAAACAATTATATATATATATATATCAACTTAAACGTGGGTAGATGTGGATGGGCGTTGGTGTGAGTGAAGATGAAGTAGATTTATCCACACTTACCCATCCCTCTTCAAAGCTCTGAGATTTCTACTAACAGGTAAAAAATTGCTTCAGAACGATGCGAATAGTTTCAGTGGAAGGTATGGGTGTGAGTGAGAGTGTGGACGAAAAACTACAAAAGAACTTTCATTCACATCTACAAGCATACCCACACTCCTCAAGTTCAAAATATCATATAATAAGCTGTAACACTTTTCGTGTCTGATATTCTACCATTGAAAATGAATTATTTTTGATTGTCACCAAATTCTGCCGTTGACTTTCAATTTCATCGTGTGTAAGCGAAACCTGTGCAAACAATAACTTCGTCTGCAACTATAATGCATAAATTTGCCAGGCACAATTTTGTTGCATTACTCATTTCAAAAAGAATAAATTCATGACTTTCGATTTGTGGATGAGAGCCTGGCAGAAGACGTGCATTATGAGCATTTGATGACTCATCGGAAAAAAAGGCTTGATTTCGAATGGTATATAAACATTGGCGAAAAGAGATTTATTTATTCATTAAACTATTACCATAGTTTCTTAATCTCTTTCTTTCTTATTCATACTTATCATCTATTTTTTAACAAATGACATTTCAAAAGTGTCGATATGAAGGTAAAATTGTGGACATACTTATTCAATGTATAGACAAGAACCAATACCATTCGTGAAAAACAACGATAATAGTGTTATTTATCCACAACGAATTCTAGCTTCTGCTCAAGATGTTATTGATTGTCATACATCGACGCCTGCAAATTGATGCTACTCAACGTCTAATATTTCAGCTAGCAGAATACAACATACCCCATCTATTCATCGTACTACCAGAGGAAACATCTTCTTACAATCCTTCAAAGTGGTTTCGTCATACATATCGTTTGCATTTTCTAGGTGACTGTGAAAACAAGAATGAACGTCATTTTGCTCTGCATGACGGATATAAAATAAGCAAACCACATAAATTCTTTCATAAATATGGACCTTATCTTCGCCACATATTAATAGCAATTAAAGGTATGGCATGCGTCGGTAGCATCGTTCTTCCACAGCTGTCATCAATCAATATGGGATTATCTAATTTTACCGTTCTACAAAAAAAGGATTTTCTAATACTATTATTGATAAAGTAGAGCAAGCAGATGGGATTTTGACAAAAGCTCAGGAAAGTCTGAATATTTCAACAAAACCCACAATTCAAGAAGTAGACGGTGCTGAACTACGACAAATTCGAAGGTATCTGGAAAAAGTGGATAATCATGATACATTAGGAAATTTATACCGTTCTATTACCTCTGATGATCATGTTCGATGGGTGTGTTAAACATCGCAATAGACCATGTTCAAATGCTAATATTCAACAATTAGATGGAAAAATAAACGGCGATGTTGCTTTGGTACAGAAACTACACACAAATACGTTAGTCAAGGATTAACATTCAGTACAATAAGATTGGAAAACTCAAAATTGATTAAAGATTTATTTTCAAAATTTCTTCATGTCATCTCAATGCAAAATAAGATTGATAAGCTTGAACTGGAAAATAGTTTCGTAACAAATTATCTAAGAGATATATCAACACGAGACATACTTTCACAGCTCAATGATGCAGTAAAAAGCGATGAAAACCTTATCATTGAATATACATTTACAAGACCATTGGAAAAATTTCAATCAAAACTATTTAATGCTATCAAAGAAACAAATTCACGACTGATATTCAAAATTCGATCAGCAGAAGCAACATCGTCACTAGAATTAACTGGAACAAATGAAGGTGGGTTTATTCTATCTATAAAAAGTGATGACGAAACTAATGCACTTAAATATTTTTCAGCCATTAACAGTATCTTTAAAGAATTGAAGATATCAACACTTCATTTACACAAAGCAATTCTTTCCGAAAATCTTTGCAATACTATCCGTCAGTTGATAGTCAACATCTAGAAGAACTGATTATGGACTACCCTTCAACATTAAATGAAACTCGCGAATGGCTCTTTTCTCATTGTAAAAATGAAAGCTTGAAAATATTACATAAAACCAGCGAATGTTTGCGTAGAAATTTTTCAAATGTTGGAAGCAAAAAACACTTTGGAAAAATTTTTTCTCACGTCTTCTACTTATCATTAGAAAACAGTGATTCAATATTAACTGGAATTGCTAAATGGTGTACTAATAAAATTAGTGATATTGTAATTATTAAGAAGTTTCTTCAAATCATACCAGTTCATCATCTATGATTAGACTTGGCGAATATCAATTGTGAAACATCACTTAAACAATTAGCAGAGACTATTAATCAACTACCGTTATTAAAAACTCTTGAACTTCAAAGTGAAACTAGTTGTGCAGTTTTTCATCGAGAAAAACGAATTTTTAACAGGGAAAGTAGCATACTTGAATCTGAGTTGCCCTGTGTACAGAATAGGAAACCTTCTTTACGCAGAAAATTCAAAAAGTATCTGTCGTTTCTTAGCTGTATTAGTCCTAAATATTATCATTCATCTCAGGAAGAAAGCAGTAATCCTCCACCACAGATTTCCAATGAGAGAGAAGATAGAAGAGCAATGCTTGTTGAACCTTTCTCTCACACTTCCTCAAATCCACTTTACAAACAAATACAAGAAATCGCATTCAATTTTACACCAAAACAATTCCAAATTACTGTTAGTCCTGATGTAAGCATAACTCACATTGCTTCAATTAGAGAATCAAATTCACTAGTAACTCATCTACAATTTGCTGGACGAATAGAAGAGACTGATATGACGACGTTAATTAAAGCTTTTCGTAAGAATAAGATAATATCTCATTTATCTTTGAAAGAAATTGAAATTTCACTTCTTAATCTTCGTCAGATCTTCGATATGTCCTATGCTAATCGAAGATTACGAGTATTAGAAATTCGTCATTGTACATCTGTTTCTGACCGAGAGGTTATTTCAACAAGAAATTAAACAATCACGTTCTGAGAATCGTGCATTACAAATTTTTGTTTAAAAATTAAAAATTTAAATCTCACTAAGTACCAATTTTAAGTTGTTTTTCTTGTATTGCTGTGCATGACTTTTTTAATCTTTTATGTAATATAATATTTGATATTTTTAAATATAAAGAACAAAACGATTTATTCTTAAAACAAGTCTATATCATCAATGATTTGCATACATACTAAAAGCGTGTGGGTGTGGATGTGATTATCTATACTCTCAGTTTACCTCGACACGCGCATCCACCCTCACCAGATAAAAAAAATCGATTATTTTCAGGAGAGAAAGGTCATCATATTCTGTTTGATAGTTTAATTTTTGACTAGGCAGAATCGAAATTTTTTGTTTTGTCTACAACGCACAAAATTTAACAAAATGAATGAAAATTTTTCCGTTCATAACTGAATGTATAGTCAACGCTTTGATTGGGTTGGTGAACTTAAGTAGAATAAAGATACTATATAATGTTTGTGAATCATCTAAAAAGGCAAAACAATCTGTTTGAAAACAGAAGAAGAGAAATGATTTCTCCGAGAATCATTAGATTAGAGGATTTACCTATGGAAATGTTAATGGAAATATTTAATTATTTTACAGCTGATCAAATTTATTTCTCATTTTCTCAATTAAATAATTATTTCAATTTAATTCTCAAATCATTACCAAAATTAATTCTTGTGATACATGAACATTTAGATCCTTTGGTTCTCTCTTTTTTTAATTCATTTAACAAAATTCTCGTCAAATTTTGTGATTCACATATAAATCGTTATCGTTGTCGTTGTCAATCTCATTCGATAAATGGTGGTAATCGTTTGTATGAAATTTATCCGATGATAGATCCAGGCTGGTATTTGGAATTCAATAAAAATCTATTTTCTTATGATCCCAGCAAAATCGACAATATTATTCATCCTGATAATTATTCACGGCTGCAATCATTAGTTTTACCACATGCTTCATCTAAATTGACACAATTGATATTTAATGGGGAGTTTCCTCGTTTAAAATTTTGTCATCTTGGTATGTGCGAATCAGTTAATGTTTCATTTTCGATGACAACACAACTACAAAATCTTCGTCAATTAACAATACGAGGACGACTACAAGGTCATGTATTAGAGAAGATATTAATGGTTTGTCCTTGTTTAATATATTTGGATTTTTCGTGTGATGATTCTATTCCTCCATTTCATTTCATCAACTGTTGTTTTCCATCGATGAAATATCTTCGACTTGGTCGATTTCAAAAATTTTTCTTTCACAACGGACAATTCGTTTTTCTTCTCTCACTCTTTCCAAATCTTTTACAATTTCATTTAGTTGGCGAGCAATGTCCTTATAATGTTGAAACAATCAATATTCAAGAAATTGCGAATTATTTACATCGTCAATGTCCATTACTGAAAATATTAGTTTTATGTATTTTTATGCAAGGACATATAAATGATTTTTTCGATAGTTTTAAAAAAATTACAGAAATGCATTCTCTTTTCAATTATGTCGAGAGATGTGAGTGGCGTCTAACTATTAGTTCACATGATTTCATTCCGCATTCTCATTATATATATCGATATACTCGTCCTTCATGTAGATGATTATGTATTCGTTTATGACTATTTCATTTGTATCTTGTATTCTTCTCTTATTCAATTAAAATAAACTTAGAAAACCATTTGACGATGGATTTTTCCTGAATAAATTTAACGCCATACTTTTAAATATACTGATATATTTTAGATCAGTATTAGTGTAGTTCTATTTGTTTTTGGGGTGTGGGTGTATCGTGCTCATACCCAAACTCACACCCATCAAGATTCACATCCATCCACACTCTCTCATGATATACTTTAGTTGAATCCATGAAAGATGCTCTCGCGACATTTGCTCCCCAGCGGCACTTGCTCTCCTGAAATATTTGCTTTCCAATATTAACTGTCGATCGGCAAGATGATCATTATTAATAGAGTGTTAGTGTGAGCGTTAGTGTGGATGTCAGTATGGGTGTGTGTTAT